AAATATAATTCACTTTAATTACGACTAAAAAATAGACCAACATGCAACAGCCAATCAGCTTTGTGCGTCCATCTAAGCTGTCTTCAGTACTGTTCAGTTTGAATAAATTAATTTACTTTGCAAGTAATTTTGAGACTCTGCGTTTCCTTTGTACGTTTTTTTTTTAATGTCGTGATATAGGTCTTAAATTTAATTCATAATGGTCTTAAAAAGGTCTTAAAAAGTCTTAAATTTGACTTTGTGAAACCTGCAGAAACCCTGAAAATGTATTGGTAGCCAACCTAAAAAAAGATAACAAGGGAGTAACACGATCCGTTTCCACAGCATTCATTAACAACCTTGCAGCAGCATTTTGTTCCAGCTGCAAGCGGCCAATGTGTGTTTGACAGGTCCCAACATAAAGTGCACTGCGATAATCTATGTCTGGGCAACATCCCCACGTGGCGAGGCAGGGGAAAGTGTGTGTCTTCTTGGAAAGTGTCCACATCCTCATGATTGATCTCTGCGAGAGCTTTCTGCGCACGGCCCATCAGAGCAACTAAAGCAGCTGTTCTTCTCTGTTGGCACTGAGAGGTAATCTGGTCCTGACAAGTGACCCTGCTATGCTTTCAGCCACTATAGGGATGTACGATTCAATTAGAGACTGACCGGTACATAATGACCTGTGTCCTTGGCAGATCCCTGACTGCATTACATTAAAGTTTCAGATAATCCTTTGCAATTCAGAGGGACGTTTCAAAGAAACATTTGGAGGGCCAATGAGAAAAATAGACGGACAAAACACTGCAATGTGACTCCAATTACTTTGTCTGTAATATTTAACAACATTATCTCATGTTTCATTCTTAGTCTATTTTTAAATCCATATCTACTAGAGGTTGTCCGGTACTGTGTTTTACTGATAACGATAACTATTGGATGATAACCGATAGTTTTTAAAATGGATACGGAATGAAAACAAACTAAATTCAATTTTTTTTTAAACTAAAAAACATAGCTAAACCATGAAAATCTACTGTACTTATTAAATTAAATAAACATAGATATTAATATTAAATATTAATAACCGATAACCGATAGTTTTTAAAAATGGATACTGAATGAAAACAAACTAAATTATATTTTTAATAAAAAAATAAAAAAACATAGCTGAACCATGAAAATGTATTGTACTTATTATATGAAATAAACATAGATATTAATATTAATATATTGATAACCGATAACCGATAGTTTTTAAAAATGGATACTGAATGAAAACAAACTAAATTATATTTTTAATACAAAAATAAAAAATCATAGCTGAACCATGAAAATGTACTGTACTTATTAAATGAAATAAATATAGATATTAAATATTAATATATTGATTAGACGTTGATCATTTATGTTAGTTCATAGTGCATTAGCTAAAGTTAACAGATACAACTTTAAAATTTAAAAATGTATTAGCAAATGTTGAAATGAATGATCTAACAATAAACAATACTTCTAAAACATTTAATAGCCTTTGTTAATGTTACAGATGGACACTTTCTTATTGTATTTCATATAAATCCAAACATTCACGCGTAAAGATGGCCATATTAAATATCTACTCAAAGGCTGTAGCATTGAAATTAAACACTTATGTATATTGTATGTCTACTCTCACACTTTATTTTAGAACACTTGATGATTATCTTATCAAAATAACAAAATATGTGTTACAGTGATGATAAAAATAACTGAAATCAGATGCATATCTTATTTGTGTCTGTCGGCTGCATGATCACATCGGTTTGCTTTCTCATGTCAACGTCACTAGCTTTAAATATGCAACTTTGCTTGCAAACGAGTGCATAATAATGACCAGCTGGATATTGGAACACAATACAATGCTGAATAAAGTCGTAGGTTTTGTTATTTTTTGACCAAAATGTATTTTCGATGCTTTTTTTGCCCCAAATCTTGAATTTTGGGGGCTTTTTTAATACATTTTGATGCCATTTTTGTCCCATTTTTTTTATTGTGGGGACTTTTTTAAAATAAATTTTGATGCAATTTTTGCCCCATATCTAGAATTTTGGGGGCTTTTTTAATACATTTTGATGCCATTTTTTTTTATTTTGGGGACTTTTTAAAATAATTTTGATGCCATTTTTGCCCCATATCTTGATTTTTGGGTGCTTTTTTTTTTATTATATATATATAAATTTTGATGCCATTTTTGCCCCAAGCTCCAGTTAATTTCCAAGCAAGGTGTGTCTGCGGTTGAAACGAGTGAAACATAGCAAGCGCTGCTACTGCACACCAGCCAGTAATTGCTCAAGATGACGAGGTCTGCTGATTCATTGTCATAGAAATGACACCACAAACAAGTTGCGAAATCATCTTCTTATGACTTATCATATTTGATATATACTTGTCAAAAGTTTGGGGGTCAGGAAGGAATTTTTTTTAAGGAAATTCAAACTTTTATTCAGAAAGGACACATTAAATTGATCAAATGTGACAGTAAAGACATCTATAATGTAACAAAAGATTTCTATTTCAAATTCTTTTTAACTTTCTATTTATGAAATAATCCTGAAAAAAAGTTTAAGCAGCACAACTCTTTTCAACGCTGATAATAATCATAAATGTTCATCATATTAGAGTGATTTCTGAAGGATCATGTGACACTGAAGACTGGAGTAATGATGCTGAAAATTCAGCTTTGATCACAGGAATAAATTACACTTCCCTATATATTCACTTAGAAAACAGCTGATTCACACTGGAATAATATTTCACTGTTTTTACTGTATTTTTGATTAAATAAATGCAGCCACGGTGAGCAGAAAAGACTTCTTTTAAAAAACATAAAAAATATTACTGACCCCAACATTTTGAAAGGTACTGTAAATCATAAAATATACATTGTGATATTTATGTATTTGCTCTGAAATGACTTGAATAAAGGGTGTTTTTAAAAAAATAATTTAACCATTATTTCAACTAAACAGCCATTGTTACAAAATAGATTTAAACTGTTTAATGCAGGAAGTTTCAACAATCAAGGCATGACCTCACATTTCCCAGCCCGTTGTATGTTTTTATTTTTTTAAGTGTAAACTCTGTTTTTTATGATACGGGCCAACATTTCAGGAGTCTAAAGGTCAGACTGAACATATCTGCATACATAAACTTAAACAGAGACTTGAGACTGGGAGGAACTATGCCAGAAAATCATAACAGAGGTCATTTACATAGAGCAAAAAATGTATTCGCATTATTAAAATTGTGGTTATTTCTAAGGGTCAGAGAGAGTGCAAAATGGACATGATGTAAAACTCCATCACAGTGTGTAAGAAACCCTTATAAGTGAACTTTTTTTTTTTCATTTTCTTGGCAGCATGTTGAGTCTCACAAGGAAAGTTTGTTGATCTGGACTATGGCTTTATGATGTGGTTTAGTGCAGGATCTGTAGCCGCTGGCCCTGTGCTGAGATGTCCGTCTGAATTAGTGTGTGTGTGTGTGTTTAATTAAATGTAGGAATCCGCTTGCCTCATTAGAAGGGTGTGGGTTCAGGCTCAACAAAAGAGCAGATCTATTGCATAATCTGCCCCACTTCCTGTCCTGCGATGACTTTCCTCATTAATTCAACAACCTTCCACTTCCTCTTTTGCATCATAACTAGTAATGTTGAACACGAGGCTTAAAATAGATGTTTTTCTGCTGACCGGTAGTTCATATTTCTCCTGGCCTTGGGGAAAAAAAATTATAAACATTTGTTTTATAACATTTTTTATATATTTTATTTGTATATTAATTTGCAGTAATGTTTATTATACTACTACTATATGATGTTATGTCTCATATGACCTCTGATATAATTTGTAATAATATCTTTAAATTATACAGCTACTATATGACCCATATAGTATAGTACATATATGACCCAAATTCATAAACACAAATTTTTTTCCTGCAATTTATACAAAAGTAGTACGGATACTATTTTATTTTATTTTTTTAATTATTTTTTTTTATTTTATTGTATTATCTATCTATCTATCTATCTATCTGTCTATCTATCTATCTATCTATCTATCTATCTATCTATCTATCTATCTATCTATCTATCTATCTATCTATCTATCTATCTATCTATCTATCTATCTATCTATCTATCTATCTATCTATCTGTCTGTCTGTCTGTCTGTCTGTCTGTCTGTCTGTCTGTCTGTCTGTCTGTCTGTCTGTCTGTCTGTCTGTCTGTCTGTCTGTCTGTCTGTCTGTCTGTCTGTCTGTCTGTCTGTCTGTCTGTCTGTCTGTCTGTCTGTCTATCTATTTATCTGTCTTGTCTGTCTGTCTAATTTGTTTATACTTATCTGTTTTACTTATTTTATTCTGGTGATTATAATGTATTTATGTCTCATATGACCTCTGATATAATTTATAATAATATCTTCCATATCTACTGTATGATAAATTCATACATAAATTTCAGGCATAAATTCATTTATACAAAAGTAGTACAGAATACTAATTAGTTTTTATTTTTATTTTATATTTTAATATTTGGTTACTAAATTTTTTTATTTTTAATTATGCTTCATATGACCACTGTAATAATATCTGTAATTTATACAGCTACTATATGACCCATATTCAGGCACACATTAATGTCTTCCAGCCATTTATACTAAAGTAGGATAGAATTTATTTTAATTTTTATTATTTTATTACTACCTTTTTAATTTTTTTTTATTATATAGCCTACTGTATATATATATATATATATATATATATATATATATATATATTATTATTTTTTATTATTATAAATGTTTTATTTTTTTTATTCTTATTAACTTTGCTTTATTTTTTGTGTCATTGGAATATATATCTGTTGTATTTTATGACCTCTGAACGCACGAGTATCTGCTGGCTACAGGCCTCTATAAAAATGAGCTGTCGTCAGATTGTAATCGCACAGATTCTCATTACGTGTCCTTTTATTCCTGTGTTCACAGATAATCCAGACCAACCGAACGCTGCTGGAGAACTCTGACGGCGTGTACGAGCGAATACTGCAAGTCCAGAAAGCAGGTAAGGATGAAAAAACGTAAGAGAGAACGAAAGCAAAGAGAAGGAGAGCGAGAGAAAGAGAAAAACACAGTGTTCCACAAGGGAGGGATGTTTCTTGGAACACAGCCGATCGACGCGTCCCTTCGATCTCCGTTTCCTCTGTAATAGAGTGCAGAAAACACCAGTGTGTTCATACTAAAAAAGCTCAAAGAGAATAAACTAATTATGCCCCGGTGTGTTGTGTAAGGCTCATTGTGCATGCTTTTCTCTTCACCTGTGTGATGCTTTTCAAACACCATTCAAGTAGGGTTTTTTGACTCTCAATAGAGTCAGTCGCTCTGTTCTCTAATTAACAGGGCTCTGAAAGGGTACACATCTATAGCCTTTCAAAGCCCTGCAATCAATGGTGCACGATGCAACGATCAGGCTCAATTGCATTCGCTCCCAAATGAAAGGGAACGACCAAATGCAGAAGAAAGGCGGTGTGTTTTATCAAGCTTTTATGTCATTTTAAGGTGCATCTGTGGCCTTTTGAAATTGCATTGATTTTTTTTTTTTTGAAGTTTACAATGTAGTGACGTGGCTTCGTTCACTTTTGATCTCACAAATCAATTCAGAGATCAGAATGTATTCTAAAAAACTTAAATATTTAAAAAACAATAAAAAAACTAAACATACTAAACATTTTTTTTTTAAATATACCCGAGCAAATTATAACATTTCAAGTTTTTGTTTTTATTAAATGTGGCAAAGTGAAAGAAATGTGCATCACTCCTGCTGTGATTTCTCATTTTCCTGTTGCCTTTTATCTGTTTATGTGCTAATGCGTTCATAAAACCTTGTGATGCGGAGTGGAAACATTGATAATCATTTTCATTTTTTTCTGCATCTTGGGTTTGTTGCTGGGAGACAATGATTGGCAGGTGATCGATGCGGAAGCTTAACGGTGTGTTTCATTGATCGTAGCTGATGGAATCTTGGCACAGGAAGCTGTTAGACTTCATTATATGTTCTCTCGTTGAGCAATTATTACAACCCAAACGCACACACTGCCATTTGTTTTGTCAAGCCAATCATTCTGCTTGCCAATGGCTTCAATGCCACATGTGTACTGTTTGGCTTCAATAATGTGCGAATAAACCTTAATAGCAGTTATTGATGCTTGTTAAAGGTGAAGTATGTAGTTTTTGCAACACTAGTGGTACCTAGTGTGATTACAAAAATAAAGCCTATTTATATTTCTCATGTTGCGCCTCCTTAAAGTAACAGTTCTTACGGGTGCGTGTGAAGACTTGTCTCAACAGGTAAAAGTAGGCTACTTGCAGTAGCCACGCCCCAAACTCTCCACCTGCTACAGTAGCCCCGCCCCAAACTCTCCACCTGCTACAGTAGCCACACCCCAAACTCTCCACCTGCTACAGTAGCCACTCCCCAAACTCTCCACCTGCTACAGTAGCCACGCCCCAGACTCTCCACCTGCTACAGTAGCCACTCCCTAAACTCTCCGCCTGCTACAGTAGCCACTCCCCAAACTCTCCACCTGCTACAGTAGCCACGCCCCAGACTCTCCACCTGCTACAGTAGCCACTCCCCAAACTCTCCAGCTGCTACAGTAGCCACTCCCCAAACTCTCCACCTGCTACAGTAGCCACACCCCAAACTCTCCACCTGCTACAGTAGCCACTCCCCAAACTCTCCACCTGCTACAGTAGCCACGCCCCAGACTCTCCACCTGCTACAGTAGCCACTCCCCAAACTCTCCACCTGCTACAGTAGCCACTCCCCAAACTCTCCACCTGCTACAGTAGCCACGCCCCAGACTCTCCACCTGCTACAGTAGCCACTCCCCAAACTCTCCACCTGCTACAGTAGCCACGCCCCAAACTCTCCACCTGCTACAGTAGCCACTCCCCAAACTCTCCACCTGCTACAGTAGCCACGCCCCAGACTCTCCACCTGCTACAGTAGCCACTCCCCAAACTCTCCACCTGCTACAGTAGCCACGCCCCAAACTCTCCATCTGCTACAGTAGCCACGCCCCAAACTCTCCACCTGCTACAGTAGCCACGCCCCAAACTCTCCACCTGCTACAGTAGCCACACCCCAAACTCTCCACCTGCTACAGTAGCCACGCCCCAGACTCTCACCTGCTACAGTAGCCCCGCCCCAAACTCTCCACCTGCTACTGTAGCCCCGCCCCAAACTCTCCACCTTCTACAGTAGCCACGCCCCAAACTCTCCACCTGCTACAGTAGCCACGCCCCAAACTCTCCGTCTGCTACAGTAGCCACGCCCCAAACTCTCCACCTGCTACAGTAGCCACGCCCCAAACTCTCACCTGCTACAGTAGCCACGCCCCAAACTCTCCACCTGCTACAGTAGCCACGCCCCAAACTCTCCACCTGCTACAGTAGCCACGCCCCAAACTCTCCACCTGCTACAGTAGCCACGCCCCAAACTCTCACCTGCTACAGTAGCCACGCCCCAAACTCTCCACCTGATACAGTAGCCACGCCCCAAACTCTCACCTGCTACAGTAGCCACTAGGGCTGTAACGATACACCAAACCCACGATTCGATTCGTATCACGATTTTTGACCCACGATTCGATTCGTATCGCGATTCTGTCACGGGGGTGGGGCTTGAGGGGGCGGGGCTTGGGGTGAAAAAAAATATTTTGAGAAAAAAAAAATATATATACTGGTATTTTTATTAAATAACATTAGGAAAAACCTGTATAATCTGAACACCAAAGAACAATAATAACTATGCAAATTATTAAGCTAAACTATCCAGTGTAGGCTGCTGCTTTTGGGTTGTGTTCTGTGCTCCAACTAAATTGATTTCGGGATGGTACCGTAGGATATGCATCTGCATGTTGGACGTGTTGCCGGTCAATTGAGGAAGCTTATTAAAACAATTACGGCAAATTGTGTGGGTCTTGTAGATTACACGATTGCCATCCCTGTTCTCCACCGTGTAGCCGAAATGTTGACATACTGCTGACTGAAATGTATTGGGAGGTTCCGCAATCTCTGGGTTGATTTCTATGTTTCTTCACGTTCTTCAAATAGCTCGCGTCACATGGAAAGGTAGTCACGACTCGAATGATATGTAGCATGTAAAAAGACGCTTACAAGTTAATTTTTTTTTAAATGGTTGGTTGGGATGAGTCACTGAGTATTTAATTATAGAATATCAAATAGGTTGTGCGATTATTGTCTAAAAAAATCTCCAGTTTTCGGTGCTGATGCGGTGGTGACGCGTTCATGTAACGTAAGGCTGGCACTGCCAATAAAGCACCTATAAGCTTACACAAAGAACCGGCAAAAGTAATGATTATGAATATGTCAAATATAGCAAGGAGACATTTAATTAGTGTTTTCTGTCAGTGTCAGCTGCAAAGACGAAGTTGCGATGCTGACTCGCGATCTTCGCAGTAGTGAACGCGCCAGAGAGAAATGCACTTTTCATACGGATTACATAAGCAGAGAGCAGTCTGTTTTCTTTCGTTTTGAATTGTTCGGTTGAAAAGTAGACATTTCAATATACCGGTAGATATATTTCTCAGGTCTATAGGCTTATACATTGGGTTTCGATTCATATGAGACGAGCTCCAGTTCACGCGCCGGCCCCTCTGTGTCGTGATTATCTGTCTGCTATATTTACTACTTATTTAATTGGTTGATGAAACATTTATTAAAATTGAGATACAATTAAAACAAAACGAAATTCAATTTAAAGAAAGTCTTTGTGCTTTTCTGTTTGAGGTCTTTGAAAGTTTTAGTGCCGCTTCCAGAGAACTGTCACGACATTGTTTTTTCCTCTTAAATGCGAACACGAAAAATAAAACAAAATGTATATTTAATGTTCTGGGGAGAGCCAACCCTCCTTCATCCGATGGGTAGCCTAGTAGCCTATTACTTTTGGTTTGTACAGTGTAATTTACAGAATTATAAAAAATATATTTTTTTGCCACCTAAAAATTAAAGATGTTTTGTGTCGCATCCGTGTACGCGTGTGTATTTCCCTCATATTAAATATAAAATGCGTGTGTGTGTAGACTTATATTTTTCTAATGTCTGGACATGTACTGGACTTTATTAAGGGAGTAGGCTATGGATATATAAACAGAAGTGTCAATATATTGGTATTAAATGCACTTTCTGAGAATTTATATTTCAAGTTTTGGCTGCAAATTTCACGTCCATAACGCTGAAATTGCCAAATTTGAAATAATTTATCCTCAACTAGTTTTGTGGTGTAGGTCTACGTATTTTATAATGTCAACTTCAAATAATACTAATAGTAATTTAAAGATGTGGTAGCATTGGTTTTGGACAGGAAGGATAACTCTGGGAGTTGGAAGGGTTGTGATCGCGATTCTGCCTTCTCACATCGCGATACAGGATCGTGGACCTGAGTATCGCGATTTCGATTTTATATCGTGTATCGTTACAGCCCTAGTAGCCACGCCCCAAACTCTCCACCTGCTACAGTAGCCACGCCCCAAACTCTCCACCTGATACAGTAGCCACGCCCCAAACTCTCCACCTGCTACAGTAGCCACGCCCCAAACTCTCCACCTGCTACAGTAGCCACGCCCCAAACTCTCCACCTGCTACAGTAGCCACGCCCCAAACTCTCCACCTGCTGCAGTAGCCACGCCCCAAACTCTCCACCTGATACAGTAGCCACGCCCCAAACTCTCCACCTGATACAGTAGCCACGCCCCAAACTCTCCACCTGCTACAGTAGCCACGCCCCAAACTCTCCACCTGCTACAGTAGCCACGCCCCAAACTCTCCACCTGCTGCAGTAGCCACGCCCCAAACTCTCCACCTGATACAGTAGCCACGCCCCAAACTCTCCACCTGCTACAGTAGCCACGCCCCAAACTCTCCACCTGCTACAGTAGCCACTCCCCAAACTCTCCATCTGCTACAGTAGCCACTCCCCAAACCCTCGCTATTGGTTGAGCTGGAAAGAGATCCTTCTAAGGGAGATAAAACCAATAATGC